ATTGAATTTTTTTACCTTATTCGTAACTTGCAGAGTGAAAACTCTTCCTTTTTGCAGTGTTGTCATGACCTCCATCGTTCATCTTCGACTTTTCGTTGCCTTGCAGTCATAGACCGCGCAATTTCAAGCACAAGCACTGGGAGTGACACTGCGAAGGCTGCAAATGACTCTGTACAATCTGAAGTGGCTGAGGATGAAAGGTATGCGGTCAAGTAATAGTATTCATTGGTATTTCAATAGCATTCAGTAGCATTTTTGATTTTTTGTATTTCTTTCAAGCATTGTCATGGCATAGGGAGAACGATATCATCCCTTTTTACTATGTTTATGATACCCGCCATGCTTTTTCGTTTGTGATCAGTTTATGGTCTTCAGAGACATATTTTCTGTTCCAATTTGTTTCAGCTTAATCTTTGGGGGGAAGATGGGGTTGGATAAAGAGATTCAGCTTTCTTCTTATATAGTACTTACATCTTTCAGAGCAAATTTGTTCCGTGATCTCGACAACTTTCTTTGCGCTGATCGTTATGTGTCAGACAAGATGACCATGGCACGCAGTCCGGGAAGATCTGAGCAGGTATCTTCCCTATTTTTATTGTTGCATCCTTCAAAAGCAGCTTTGCGCTCAATGTTTTGCTTGTCATGGTTGATAATGCAATACTTTTTAGATGTTTACGATCGGCTCGAAAAAAGAGCAGCACCGTTATGGAGATGTGTTGTGGCTTATATTGCGAGCCTACTTCAGCGGAAGGTAATAATGCGTCTATCCTAACTTTGATTTTTTTCGTCCTCGCCATTCGTTAGGTTGGGTGTAACTCCGTTGTCCAGTTAATTCCAAATTTATTGAACTGAATTCAAGCAGTCTTGCCTTATAGAGATGTTTCTGGAGAGGATGCGGTTTTCGATATGGATGCCTTGGTTTGTTCGAAGCGTGAGCAACGAACTCACATTCTTGACGAGATTATGAATTATGAAGCCATTCCGTTAGCAGAGGGATATGATCGCCTAGAAGTCAATTATATGACTCACCTACATAACACTAGAAAGGACGGTATGTGAATAAACCTGGATTTCCTTGTTCCTATCTAGCTGTTTTACAGTGCGAGAGCTGCTGGATAATTTTAGCAGATACCAAGTTCTTTTTCCTCATTCAAAGGCCATGGTACAAGATTGTACTACCCGCAAAGGTGCTGACTTTACAAAACAGCTAATCGACAAGGTGACGCTGCTCATTACTTGGTTGAATACAGTAGAGGATTTGGCAGCGAAAATTACTCAGGTAGACATACTCTCTTCTCTTCTGAATTGGGTTATGTCGATTTATTCAGCTTGGAACTCTTTTCGAAGTTAGTCGTTTACCTAACGCAGAAAAGTTGTGGCCTCGTCCTTTACACGACACTTCTTGGTCGGTCTG